AATTTTACATTTAAATTTACTGACGTTAACAAATTACTTAAAATATAATGCAAGCATAAATTTGTTTTACAAAGGCTATTATGTTAATAATAATTTTTATTTTAATTAGTTCCTTTTTTTTAACAATGATCTTTTAACAAAATAAAAGTGCATTTAATAAAATTAAATTAAGAAAAAAACTAATTTTTATTTTACTGAAGTTTTAGTACTTTCAGTAAAATCATTGCAATTGTATTTATAAATAAAAGTTTATTTCCCGTCCATTAATTTTTGCGATCATAAAGTTAATCATTTTAGCCATTAATGGCCCATATCTGCTAGAGAGCAATACAGTAATATTAGTATTATTTTGTTTTTTAGAGAAAAATTAATTAAATTTACAAATTTAACTTCATACATTAACTATAAATCAGTATAACCTAATTAAATTGACATAAATAGTTATTACTTATTCATTATACGATTATGGCTTTCACTGTCAATCGGAAGTATGGATTCGTCTTTTTTAATTTTTCTTCATTACAGTAAATATCATGTCACTGAAACATTGAGAACAATATGTCAATCAATTAGTTCAAAACCCGAAACTATTTTCCATAGTAACAGACTATGGGACGATATACAGATTGGCATAACTAGATCGATTTGTCTTGTGATATTGATTTAGTTTATATTATTTATGTGATTAAGATTTGTGTTTCTTAACTACAAAGAGTACTGCGGACCGGAAAAAAATTCTAATATTTTTAAGGACCTGTAAAATACTCAATATGTTTTGAAAGCGCCACAATTGGTATTTTCAAAAATTAATGTCGTAAAAATGAAAATATAATATTAAAATAGACTAATATCACATACTTTCAATGGGTCGCGAAACAACGGTTGAGAAATCCTAGTTTAGATGTTTTCCGCGTTGGATATGTAAATCTTAACAAGTTTAATTCAAGTTACCGTCTACTCATAAAACTGTTTAAAATATTAAAAGCAATAAAAATAAATTTAATTTTATTATAAATACATAATTTTTTTGACTAAACGTAAGAAAAATGTCAAAGAGAAAGTATGTTACTCAATATAATTGTCAACTGTAGACAAATAGTAATTAATTTCATTTAAGTTATTTCATATTAGTTATTATTCGTACTGCACATTAATAGTAATGTAACACTTCAGCAAATTTATGAGAAATCATTACATTTTATATACAAAAAACTGGGTTAAGTATAATTGTTACAAAAATTACCTAAACTATCTCTTATATTTAATACCTCAAAATCGAAAGTACTTTAACTATAGATTTTAAGTACTGTAGTACAGTGAGAATGAAAATTTTTACAAACAAACGATTACAGACAGACGATTTTATGGTTTAACTTTTGGCGTCCTGGTTATTGGTAGATTTAAATCAATTCTTTTAAATTATGTTATAATAGTAAAAACTTAAGTCGTTGAATTAAAATGCCGCATTTGAAACATTTGCCTAATCTAATCACGCGTGGCATAGCCGTCCTATACTAATGGGGATATAGTACAATCTTTGAAAAACAATAACGTCACACCAATTTTTTATACGTGTCACTTATCGCGTGAGTTTACCATCGCTGTTGTTATACATATGTGCAAGTTGTATATTAGCCTTCAAAAATAATATAATAATTTTAATTTAATTTATATAATTAAATAATATAATTGTCTTTTTATATATAATTATAATCACATCTGAATGTTTCTTTTTTTTATTTAAAATATTGTGCCTAACGAATTAAACAAAATTTATTTCAACCTTCAAAATTTTTTCTATTAATCAAACATTAAAAACCAATGTTCGGAGTAACTTAAGTCGCAATACTGACTTAAGTCTTGCTTAAGTAATTAACTATGCAGGCTTCTCCATACTTCAATTGAAACTTAAGGTTCGTAATTGACTTAAGTCATGATTAAGTAATTAACTTCGCTGACATTATTCGTACTTAAATCGTGTTTAAGACTTAAGTTACGACTGCGAAATCGGCTCTTATTATGGATATCAACACTCTCTGAATTTGCAATAATCTCTTTAATTATATTATTTCCAATAAATGAAATTTGTGAATTGGGAAATAAAAAAAACATTTATATATTCATAAAGATCAGATTCTTTATTTAGTTTTAACAAACAAATCTCTTGGTAGATCACTCTTATTAAGAGAAAAAAAAAGTATTTTCAGTACTTATAAAAGTACTTGATTAAAGAACACCTAAGTTACAAATTTGGCGCCATTTTCAAGGATATATTGTTTACTCAAGAACCCTGATTTGACAACGGATTTTGGTAAATTTCAATATTTTAAGTAATATTGAAATTCCAGTAGAACAATATTCCACCAGACTATATTCTAATACATTGTTGAACTTGCTGTTATTGTAATCCGTGGCTACTTATGTAGCGGAAATATGAAAGGAATTACAAATATGAATACATGGGTTAAGAGTATATTTGGGTAATGTTAGAGTGAGAAGGTATATGGGATTAGTGATGGATAAGGAGATGGTTCGGTCTAAATTGAAACCAGTCTGGGTTAAGGCGGGTGGACTTTACATTTATGCGTACTCGACCTTACTGTTGTTAGTTTCATTGCAATAGGTGTGATATATTCATGGAGGGTGCTCACTTGTTTGCCCCATTAGTAGATATTACTTTAACAGTACTTGACTCTGCACTTTTGCAAGAAGTAATTTACAACTGGTTGTAATCTGCAAAGCTATATTTTATAATGATTGGATTTTAATCTATGTGAAGCAACATAGACGTAATAGGATACCCCTTTACTTTGTAGGTATTTAGCAGGGTTTATTAATCTTTACTTCAACAACAGTCAGTGAGAAGTTTTCATATATTAAATTTAGGTCTACGTCTTGGATATATTCGTAAATCAAGAGAACTAAGCGTTACTTTTTACGTCTAACAGGGACTATACTAGCAGGTATGAATTATTAACTTAAATGAATTGTTAACATGTCGTGCTTTAAAGTTGTGAATTGTTTACATAGATTATAATAGCAAAAAACACCTATATATATGCAATTCTTATATTGACTTCTATAGGGTCAAAGTTTGTGTTGGGAATTTTCATGTTAAATTTTAAAATTAAAAGCTTACTATCTCGAGAACTAAGCTGTAATAATATATAGCTTAACGAACTTAATATAGTAACTAGAATTTACTTGCAACTAAAAATAAAAAGTGTTTCATAATTTTAATTAATATTAAAGAAAAAAAATTTACAAAATGGCAATTATATATAATAAGAAAGCAGTGAAGTGGAACTCTAAATTTTTACTATAATTATAAAAAAACGTTAAAACATAATTTTTAAAATCACTTTTTCTAATTTGTAATTAGATTGGCAACATTAAGAAGCACAAATGAATAAACAGAGAATAAACGGAAGTATTTTTGTGTGAAACGTTGGGTGACAATACCAAAAAGCAGCTATAAAATGTGTAGAAAATATATGCATTTCTTGCATTAATAATTTATTTATAAAACTATTTAGAATTATGTTAATCGTTTATTTTACAAACTTTAAGAACTGAGGTATAAAGTTTATTAAATAAAGAACATATCAAATTGACCTAATTGGGATTTACCATTAAGATCTGACCATATCTAAATAAATTATTGGACCTTACTTATATAAATGTTTACAAAATTCTAGTCTCTCTAATGATTTTCAATAATACTCTCAGCTTTTATTAGAATAATTTAAATAAGTATTTAGTTAAAAATATAATATAGTATATACTATGTATTTAAATTTGTAACTTAAGTGTTCTTTAATACTGCAAGTACTAAGGGTTGAACTCGTACCCTGCCAAATTTGAAACTCAGAGTCAGCGTTCATTAACCAACGTTCATGAACTTTAAACCTCACTACTAAATACTATAGTTTCTTTTAAGTAAAATAGTCAATTCTGTCACGATTGTCGTTTTATTACAACCATAATTTTAGAAAAAATCCATTTGAGTTCTATTAAAAAACTTAAAGTTCTTATATTTTTAAGATAAACAATAGGATTAATTAGGTTATTATGGTGTTTATAAGTATTATATTATTATAAGCGAATAAAAAATACTCTCTTCATCTTCCTTACAGTTATTGAAGTATTAAGTAGAATTTTCAAACGCCTCGTATAGTTGCCTAACGTACTTTAACCCGTCAGACCTATATTCAAACTGGTATCTTTACAGGGTATACATTAAGATTGTTATATTGCTATATTGAAGAAAAATAACAATGTATTAAGAACATGCCTAAAATCACAATTTTAAAAAGTTGAAAACGTCGCTGTAATGAAATTTTAACTAATTAGATTCACAAAAGGTAATTAGCATTTTACACGATTCCTATTATACATCTATTAGGTATGGCATATAGTCATTCAGGTTATCCTAAGCTAATGTCTATACTATGCATAAATTTTAAAAGTAGCTATTATCTGTTTTAGGTTTTATTGATGGTCAAGCATTTAATTTTATTTCCGTCGTTAAAATAAAAAATTTATAACTTATAAAATGAATACTTAAAATTACTAAAATCAATCAGAAATATATAAAAATTTTAATTTTAACATATAAAAGTGAACAGTTAAAAATTTAAATAAAACCTTTAAAATCCTCGTTTTGAATTCTTTGATATTTATATTTGTTAAAAGTTATTAGTATCTTTTAGATATTAAAATCTGATATTAAGTTAACTATTTGAATGAAAACTAAAATTATTTTACTAAAAACATGTAAATAAAGATTTTAACAATATCTATTTATATAAAAGTTATGTGATCGGTTTGATCTATGAACTTTAAAATCAAGTGAAAGGTGTACACAAATAGGGAAAGCTTTTTTTAATAATGAAAATAGAAACTTAACTTTCAAACGAAGTCATTTTTGTATGGATGATTTAATATGCAAATGTACAGGATACAGCACTTTTTATAAAATCCTCGCCCAAATCGAAAACATGTTTAGCAACTCAATAGTGCTTATATTCCGTATTCCGCCAATAGCATTAGCTGCACTGAAGCCAACTGTAACCTCATGTAGTTTGGCATACATGTCTTGGCAAAACCACTTTTAAGTTCAATGACTTTAATTGTAGGCCCATTTCTTTCTATACGATTACTGCCTATTGCATCATAACAATTTGTCACACTTAAATTGACAACTAATTTTTTGAATATTGAACATTGCTTGCCCATAATGGTGTATTCCAGATTAGTCAGATTCGAATCTGACTATTATGTATTTCCTTAAATTATTTGTCAATGCTAATTTTTATATTTATGAAATACATAATAAATCATTATGTACATATGCACATTTCTAGGAATGTGCATTGCAGTATGTTAAATGACTCGAACGTCAATAAATTTTCAATAAACAAGATTTATGTTGCGTGTCTGAACCTGTTGCATAAATTTTAGTTCGCGGGTAAGAGTGACATTTATATCTCACTTTTGTGTTCACCATTCTGTATCCGGAATAAACACCTCGCAAAACTATTTGTTACCTCAGCGCATTAACTAAAATTGTAAGAATTTTTTTATTTTTACATTCCAGTTTTGATGAATCAACTAAATGTTTTATTTTAAATTTAATTCTGCAAACAGAATAGTATAAATTCATATAAAAAATAAATTTAGCAATAAAAAATAAAAATTTAATAAATTAATTAAATTATTCTACAGCTGGTTTATGATTTCGTTTTAATATAAACATAGCAAGTGAATTTGTTAATATAAACTTTCACAGCAAATTAAAAAAACTCCAAGAAAAATGTGCGAACATAAAAGTTAAATACGGTTTTGAGTCGGTATGTTAAGGAGCGCTGACTCTGAGCTTCAAATCTGGCAGGGCACGTGTGCGATTACTAGTACTTGCAGTCTCAAAAAATTATTTATGAATAATTAAATATAAGAAATAATTCCAAAATCACTCATAATGAGTCTTCGGCAATACACTAAACAGCTGTATGATTAGCCAAAAATTCAATTAATTAAAATAATATAAAAAAGAATTTTTGTTGTTGTAGTTTTCGAAAACCTTTTTATTAAATTCAATTCAATCCTATTTTTCGAAAACTTCTTTATTAAATTCAATTCTATTATAGTTTTTAAAAGATTTTTTTTTTTATTGTTTTACAGCTTTCAGTATTATCGCAAAAAAGTTTTGTTAATTGCACAATTGAAACCTCAACTGCAGCAGATGAGAATTCAGTATATAATGAAACAACAACTGCCACAACATTTACAGCAGTTGCGGAGAAATTGGTGCGATTTCGTCGACAGCCATCAATAACTATCGTGAAACATGTTAGTCGTTCAACAAAGCGCATAAAACCACGGTGGCATATCAAGAAACCTAAACTAAAATATGGTCCACCTAACTATAGCTACGGAGAACCTTTATCCTATTTCAAACCAGAACAACCAGTAACAGATTTTGAATCCCCACCTACTTTTTCTATGCATGATTTTGAACATATAAATTTGGATGCTGCTGACTTTCAACTACCTCCTTCCAGTTATGATACACAGCCAATGGATTTAGATTTTTATAGTCAAATGGATGATAGTCTCGATATTCCCAAAGAAAAATACACACACTTTCAAACCGAACCTGAAAAACCTTATTTATATGCTCCACCTAAAACAGAATTTAATTTACCAAGAGTTCCTCATAAAGCTTATGGTGTTCCAAACCAATATGATTATAATACAGATATTAGTACAGATTTTGATACAATATTTGAAGGACAACATCCATCGCCTACCATAGATACTAATTATAGTCCACCTCAAGTCACAAATGGACAACCATTTAAAATAAATAAAGGTACTGCATATGACTTTAAACCAACGAATTCTTATGAAGAAGATAAAGTCTATCAATCTCCACCTATTGAAAACACTCCACCAAAATTCTTAGAAAATACAAAATACATGCCATCGGTAACAGTAGCAGAAAAATATGTACCAATACCAATTCAAACCGGGTATAAAACTAATACCGACAGTCAACAGAAGTATACCACCGGTTCTTCTTCTGATTTTAAAGGTGAACACAAGAAACACAATTTTAACGAAAATTCTTTCAATACAGCAGATATTGAAATAACTTATTCACCTTCATTTGAAATAAATATACCGCCCAAAGATAATCACTATCCAAGTAGTAGTTACGGTTCTTCCGACTCTACTCAACATCAACCAGGTAATTTTGCAGAACCACCTGTTGCTTCACCGCCCTCCTACCAAGCACCTGAACATGTTGATATACCGTTTCAACCAACAGCACCGCAGCCCCAGCCTGGACCTTCAGAAGATTATGTACCACCATCACAGGAACTACCTTTAAATCCTAATCATAAACAACCAGCATATGACTTTCCAAAATCTAGTTATGAAGTACCAATTTATGATCCAATACCATTTGATGCTTCCAATAACGAAGAGCAAGAAGTTTATCCACCACATTTACAAGATGGTTCTTTTAGTGTTTCAAATCCTTCAACAATAAAAGATACAAAACCTTTTGTTGACGAATATCAACCAGAACAATCCGAAACTGTTTCAAATGAATTGGATAGAACTAATTTCAATACTGAATTGGATATAAATGCAACAGAAAAATCAACACGACCCAGACGTTATCATAAAAGAAAACAATCTAATAGTAGAAACAAATCTAGCTCAAAACATACTTTAGATGTTCCTGAACTAAAAAAAGCTTTTGAAGCAGAAAACCAAGAAAAATTACATCATACAAGATCAAATGACTCAAAAGGTGATGAAATAACTCACAAAAATAAACAACATTATGTTTTTAATGGTGAAAGTAATGCACCTCAAATATGGAATCCAATGCGTATACGTACTTCACAACGTGTAAATTTCACACCTACAACTGTTTCTATTGTTAATGACAAGACTTCTTCTACCAATCGTCCAAGATATAGAACTCGACACAATCCACAAGCACGTTTACCACCACAAACTACAACAACTACAACAGAGAAAACAAAACAAACTTCTCAAAAGCCTACCATTATATCAATTGAAAAATCACGGTCTAAAAGTTATTACGATGGGACCATAGCACCACCTGTTGTGAATATCACAAACTCTTATAATCCTCGTGTAAATAAATTCAGTATACAGACACGAACCCCACTAGTAGTAAGGCCTAGTAAGGATCAACTACCAAAAAGAACTACAAAAAGCGTTTTTGATACAACATATTTTAAGAGCCCAATTTTTGAAAAGGATATGACGTGGACCTTAAATAAATCCCAACAAAATATACCAAAAAATCATAAACTATATTGAAAAGTTCTTTTTCTTCTTACAAAAACTTACACATGATACATTATAAATTCAATTCTATTTGCTAAGTTATTTATTGTACTGAATTAATTTAATACTAATTTTTATTAATATCCAAAACAAAAATAAAATTTTTTAAAATACATAGGTTATTCTCGACTTCTTTCTTTTTTGGAAATTTTTGGGATTTCAAGTGACATTAAACAAGTGAATTTTCGAAATAACACAGTAAGTCAGAGAGTAAGTAATATCAACGTAGTTGTGCAGTAGCGTACATTGTCTTATATAAATAAACTTTATATTTATTTAAAATTATATAAAAATCAAGATTGAAATATTCAATGGATTTTCAATTCCTCAAATTAATCTAGTGTGGCCTTTGGCAAAAATTTAATTTATCTGATTTAATCTTCAAAAATCAATCCAGTGCATTCAATGTCACCAGGATTATTACTTTATTAAACAAGTGTTTTTGGCTAGAATTTAATAGATTTAATGGAATTATTTTAGATTTGAAAATGTTTTTTATAATATATATTTATTAAGGATTTATTTTTAAATAAAAAATAATTAATTATATTTTTTAAGCAACAAATAATTATCTAAATTACGCTTATAACAATAGTTTCAAATATTATTTTTGTTTTTTGAGTTGTTTTCAGCTTCGAGTATTTTAATATTCCAGCACAGTAAGTTCTTCGAAAAAGTCCGAACATTATACAATATTTGAACAGCAAAGACGTAATTGTTTAATACAAAAAGAAAATAAAACGAAACATCTTCGAATAACTCAAACATTTTCGAACATTCGAAAATATATAATTCGAGTTCGAATATAATTTAACTGTTCATACATTGTAGTGCTTGTACAATGAGAATCACTACATATAACAAATAAATAAATATACTTACAATTTTTTCTATAAAATTGCGCCATTTTTTGCTTGTACTATACATTTGAAAATCATTAAAAAATACTGGTCCCGACGAAGTTGGTGGTAAATCTGGTAAATTTGTTTCCAAATTAAAAACATCTCGACATTTTTCCAATAAAGCTTTCATAACTGGCATAAGAAATGAGTATTCCTCGGGATTGCCAACTGAAACATACATAAAATATAATAAATGAAATAAAAAATAATAAATGATAAAATTATTGCATTAAAACCAACCTTCAATTGCATTATCCAAGGCTCGATTAATACTATATAATAAATAAGCTAATTCTAGTGGATCATAAGTAGTGCGACTTTGTAATATAGCATGTAACTTTGCTGTAGCCATTGCAACAACACCAGGATTTGGATGATAAGAACATTTGAGTAATAAACCTAGACACAAGCGTATCATGTCAGACCAGCCATCTGAAGACCCCTGTTGGAATATCATAAGTGCATCTAACAAAGCAAGGACTCCATCAAGCAATTTTGTGGAGCACTTTTTTGATTCGTCTTCATTTGAACCCAATACAACTAAGTCATACACCATACGAAGAATTTGTGAAGCATTCTATAAATATAATGCTTTATATACATACTTTATATACATAAATACATACTTCTTGATTAATTAATGTCTGACTACCATGTTCGGATAAATCTAATAATGATGCTTGAACAGCCATTTCCAGTATTCGTAGTCGCAATGAAAGATGTGAAGTTACTAATTCATTATTTAATGCAAGTAAATTTATACAACCCAAGACTTGACCGCGTTCTATCCAGCAAAGTGGGTGATCATTGCTGACACCATTCCAGAAAATAGTAAATAAAACATTAGACACTAAATAAACTAGCTGCTCTTCATTATCCACATCACCGTCAGCAGAGAAATCAAATGTTGCATTAGTCTAAAATAAGTTTTATTTTAATTAATTATTTAGAAAAAATATTTTATACGTTAAAAAAACAATTTTAATCAGAATAAACCCTTACCTCAATGGAATCACCTTTTTTCGTTACTGTTTGCGGAGATTGTGTTGTACTATCAGAGCTTACTGAATCCGTACGCTGACGTGAATGGTGCTGTAAAAAATATGAAGCCAAAAACAAACAAGATCTAAGTAATTGGTGATCGTAGCCAATAATTGCAAGATTATTTCAATAATTAACATTATTTCAATAATATTAAAAAATAAACTAAATTAATTCTATAAAATATTTGTTAATAAAATTAATTATTAACAATTAAATAATATTTTACTTTTTACTTTGTAGAAAAATATCGTTTATCTACGGTTTAATTAGAGAGTGCCGTGAGGATGAACATTGAATATATTAAAATAATTATAAAAATTTAAAATTAAAGTTTATTAAAATTAATTAAATCAAACAATATTTGTGTGTAACGTGGATTAACTGTAATACGTTTTTTAGTGAATTTGTTTGCTAGAGAAGAAATGGCTAAACACATTTAAATTTAATTATTTATTTGAAAAATAATAGAATTCTTAAAAATGTTTAATTATTTATGTATACTTCTTATATAAACAATTTAAAAGTAAATAAAATTAAAATATATAAAAGCTGATTAATAATAAGATAAATACGTATATATAAAATATTATCATTCGTTTTTATATTGATTATAATAATTCTTAACATTTAATTCCTCAAAATTACTAAATTTAAAAAAATTCTTTTTAATCATATTTAATTAAAAGTTAAATAAAATTAATTAAGTTAATTTATATTTAAAAAATATCCACTAATAACATTAAAATATAACAAATATTTTTAAAAAAATTTTATTTCAAATTTTACCGTTTCTGACTCATTGGAAGTGCCTAAGGCCAGTGATTCAAATGTATCCTGAATGTCATGGGTTGTTTGACGTATAACGGAAAATACTGACGACACATTTTCTACAACTACATCCGATACAGATTCTGCCAATTCTAGAATTTAAAATAATATATTTATTTAAATCTTTTACTTTAATTTTATTATAAATATTTTGAACAAATTAGGTTTACCTTTAATTTCACTTTCAATTACGCTGGCAGCTTCTGTAACACTGGCTTGAATTTCATTTAATATTAAGCCTCCATCACTATGGTCCTGTTGTAATTGATCTAGTTCAATTTGTTGTTCACAAAAACTAATTAAATCTGCTTGATTATTAAATTCATTATTATCTTCTAGCAGCACGTCTAAATTTATGCCAAAACTTTTCCGTTTTTCTTCATCTGGTTTAACGTTTGTAATAGGTTTACGTATCAAAAGTCTTGCTATAGATTCTTGCCACCCGGTTTGTTTGGCAATTGCTTGTGGAGAATTGTGTTTAACAAAAGTTATTTGCAGCAAACGTTTAGCGATTTCTAATTTTATAGGTAAATCACATGAGCTAATGTGATGTACAAGAAAAACTAAACCAGCGAAATCAGTTTCAGCACTTAGGATTTCATCGACCATATGAAAAAGTATGGTTGAGCTCAGTGTCATTGGAATTAAATACGAGAAAAACCCAGGAAACATGGATATATCAGTGCTCTGATCATGTAGACGCAATATTTGTTTATATTTTTGATGCACACGGGATGTAGTGAGTAAACCACTTATAAACTGTAATGAACAAATTTTTAATATAATTTGTATAAAAACAAAATTAACAATTTATTTTACTTACTCTTATAGCAGCTTCTTGTATCTCAGTATTATAATTTTTGTCAACAAAATAGTTATACAGTAAATTGGCTGTAGCTGGCTCATGTAGCAGCAATATCATTTGATCTTTGCAACTTTTGCTTTTCGCATGGAATGTTAAAATTTCAAGAAATTCAATTATCACCAATTCCTGTCGTACTGATGACAGAAAAGCTATAATAGCCGTTATTTCCTTAATATTTGAATCTTTTTGCAGATAAAATCGCACAACAGCAAAAAGTGTGGCACGTATGGTTTTGGCATCCTCTGGTGTAATATTATCGGGCGTACCATAGAATTGGCGTACGACATCTAAAAAAAATTGTATGCCAAACTTCTTCCTAAAATATTTACGATCGTTTTTAATCATAGCACTTAAATATTGCACATGGCCAAGAGTGATTTGAAAATTCATACGAGACCATATACCAAAATTAAAAGCAATATCAGTATAAAGTGCTTCAAGTAAAGCTGCATTATTATTGCCATTGCTTGATTTGTGACCCTGTATTGATTCTATGAAAAGATGCGTTGCCATCAATGCATTAACGTCAAATAAACGAGAGGGACACTTAATCAACATGTTGCCTATAATAGGCAAAACCTCACTGTTTAACATATTTTCTTGATTATTGTCATGCTCATGTGTTAAATATCGCAGGAAGCATATGAAGCTAGCAACAGGTGATTGTATCATTTTCCATTCTGTTGGAATATAAAATCAATTTAATATTTTATATAAAAATAATTTATACTATTTACCTGTATATGAATTAGAGGAGAGCACCTCCCAATCCGAAAATTCTTCAGCTGTTGGTGTTTTAAGTGGTTCACCACTGTTCGTAGAGACACTGTCGTTGTCGTCACTAGAAAATGAAAAATCATCCAGCTCTTTGGTAAAGCGATATAAAATAGGTAGTATAGCTTGTATACCACCAATACTATTAATAGTATCTTGTAATTTTATTATTCTACTATGTTGTGCTCGAATAGTGCCGGAATATCTGCCACTAGGTATCAAATCAAAACAAGTTTCTTGCCAATATGCACCAGGTGCGAAACAGAAAACAAAACGTGATGTTAATTCAAGTAAATCATTATCCTGTGAGAATATGGAAGCAAAATTTGTGCCTGTATCGAATACAGTTTTTAAACTTGTAGTAGGCTCAGCAAGTAAAACTGCACCAATATGACCGCGTAAGCAAGTTTGCTCACCAAATACTGTCTCATGCATGCCAATGGGAAAATTCTTAACATTTGGATCAAATGACGTTTGCGTTCGTAAGGGTAAAGTAAAATAATTAGAAACCTGTAACAAAAAAAAATTTTAATATGAAACATTTTTTAAATAAAAGTGCACACTTACATTTGTGGATAATGTACGCTCTAGTAAACTTGGAAGCATGCCTTTATAAGTTGAAGATCCTGACTCTTGCGAGGAGGACCGCGGTAATGTTGATGTTATCATATTGCTTGAAGTTTCATGATGCAGTGTAGGTATTGCTGCTGAACCAATTGAACAGAAAACGAATGGCTAAAATAAAATTATAGTTTTAATATATTTTTAATAAGTTCCTATTTTATACAAAATATATATTACCTCATTTATGGCTGGCACTTTGAGGGTAGCACTCAATTTTTGCATAAAGTCTATGTAAACATTTATTTGGCTATATGAAAAAGGTCGTTTTGGTGGCGTTATAGCAACGGTTACATAGTGCCACTGACCATCAAGTAATGTTTTAGTTGTTACGGCTGAAGTCAAATATTCACGTTTCGTCACAGCAGCAACTACAATATTGCCACTATTTTGTATAAAAATCTCAAATCCATTACCGGTACCTGTACGTAAACTATTAAAGCAAGAAGAAATATTTTATTATTATTATATTTATGGATATATATTTATTCTTTACTTACTTTAACAGCATACGTCTGCAATTCGGTCGGCTATTGTCTTCACTTACTTCATTTTTCTTCGTTTTATCTTTATTTGGCTTCTCATTTAATTTAACTAATATATGGAATATAAAACCATATGCACCAGACATAGTCCAGTTTCTTATATCAGGCACAATAATGCCATCGTTTGGATTTTTAATCGAGAAATATTGCGAACATAAATTAGAGCTTGTTAAACTTTGTAATGATATCGTGACTAGAGTCTATAAAAAATAAACCAATTAGTTACTTTTATTTGATTATTTATAATATTATATAGATGGTTTTACCTGTAATAATTGTTTGGAATGTGGAAATTCACTTTCTTGTCGTAATAAACTAAATATTCGCTTTAGTTCAATGGGTAAAATACTTAATTTGCAGAGTTCTTCAATTAATTTAATAAAATTTTGTATGGAAGCATCTGAGAGTTGTTTGTAGTTTTGTAGGCATTCACAAATAGCTTTAATAGTACGATTTTCGCAAGCAATAGTTTTTCTGAAATTAAAAATTATTATTATGCATATTCATCGGTATACGTTATATAAAATCAAATAATATATACACAAATAAAAATGGTTAATGAAATTTGAATGATATATCTTATATTAAATTACTATATTATTTTTAAAAAAATGGTATTTTTAATAAGTTATAATAACCCTTTCTAAGAAAAAATAAACGTTGTAAAATATTTTTTGAAAAAATAATTATATAAAATAAATTTAAATAAAAACTAACAAAGATATATAACAATATTACAAAACTGTTGATTAACAGAACATGATAAACATGATTTCATATATATTAACTATTTACTATTTTTGAAACTAAGTCTACGTAAGGTTTAAGGATGATATCGCGATAGAATATACGTTTACCACTAATGAGTTCATAGCATTTGCCTAGGACAGTCGTTGTAAAATATCTTCGCTTACTGATATATACGATATTTTAAAAATTTTATAATTTAAATTTTATGATTTTCAAAAAAATTTTGAAACAAAGGTTAAAATAAGTTTAAGGAGTAATTTGTGACAGATTCAGATATTTATTTGTCCTATTTCTTTGTATTACATAAGTTAACTAATTTTCTACTTTCTTATAGATTTATATAGGTATTATTTCTAATATTTAGTTTTGGCTTAATAAGAAGTCTCGTTCATCGATCTTACTTGTGATTTGTTAGAGTATCATATATTCGAAGGTATGGATTAGTATGTAAATAGCTAGAAAAAAGAACTAATGTAGTTTTTATAACTGCGCTATGTAGTCTACTGTAAAGTTTTAGATAAGTTATAATAGCGATTTCAGAGTTTGAATTAGGTCTATTAACCGATAGTATTACTGTATAAGACTTTACGCGTTCGTAATTATCTGAAACCTTTTGTATAAAGTATTCTTTATGATAGGTTCTGTAACACATCAAGATCCTCTAGAGACTACGACAATAAGACAAAGCTAATGTGAAGCATATTCTTGCTATCTCACACCTGCAGTAAGAATAATTGGAGAGAAGATGCAATTTTCAAGCATGCTTTCCTAATGGTTATATAGTTTATTATATATCTATAATATATAATGTATAATACCTATAATGTATATATATTTAATGTAATTTATATAAATTTAGGCATTATTTCTAATATCTTTAAATAATCTTTTGGATCTTATGATTTATTCACAATTTCAAACAAAAAATTACTTTGTTATGTATAATATATAATACAAATATATTATTATAAATTATATATTACTGTTCAGTGCTAATTCCAAAAATAAAGAATTGTATATATGTAATTAATAAGAAGTTTTTATTATAAATAATATGTGATCCATTTAATGAATGGGCATCTAAGAAAAGTAATAAGGTTTATAAATGACTCTCTTAACGGAAAAATTCTTTTAATCAAATTCTTGTTGTTTGTTTTCGTAATAAACTCATAGCGATTAATATAACTTTGTGAGTAAATAAATTTTAATGATAAACTTAATAATTATTATTTAAACAATTTTGCTTAAATCACTAGTTTTTGAATGTTAAGGTTACAAATAATGAATGTAAATTTTTCGTTTAGAAATCTATACTTTATATATATAATTTGATTAATTTAATTGTTTTTAATTGCAAATAAGTCAACAGAAATCTATTTTAATTTGATTTTAAATTTGCATTTCAAATTGAAACTGATTTTTAATTTTCTATTAAATTTAAATTGAACTCCGCATTTACTAACTTGATCTATCTCGCATGAGTAAAACTCAAAAGATATTGTTTTAAAAAATATTAAGTTCATACATTATGTATTAATGAATATTATTAACTATTCGTGTGTTTTAATTATTTGTGCGTTGTATTTATAAAAAGTAAGTGTAGTATGCTTGATCTATCTAGCTCTCCATTTAGTTAAATTTGGTTACATAAAAATTAATCATAATTTTAGTTCTATATCAAATGGAATTAATTAATTAAAATACGTTTATAAATAACACCTGCATATTAATATTAATATAATCATTAGCAAATACATACGTTGCGTAGTTGTCTGTGCACCCTTTCAATATTAAACCGCTCAAAAAGGTCTGCTCACGTTCATGAATTTCTGGCATCCATTCAATTAATTGAATTATTACTTCAGGTAGCACAAGTAATTTAGTAGCGTCATCGTATGCAAGATGGAAGCATGCCTCTAGAAGTATTTCGTTTGGCACACCTAATATTTTTAGACTTTTAAACATTTTATCAACTTTCCCAGATGCACGTAATTGTTCGCCAACGCATAAGGAATTACGTGTTATTACCGCAAGTGTTTCAATTGTACTACAAATTGTGGCAGAATAGTTTATATTCCAATCCTGCAGTTTCGAAACAGATTTTTGATATTTAATTTTACATATTGAAACAATTTTATACTAACCTTAATATTTTTGGGCACACTGATTAATATGTCCAATAAATTAGTATCATTTATAGCATCACATATATACGCTGCAGTTGCTGAATCAGATAAAAATACGCGTATGTTGGCAATAGTTGTTGCTAAAGCATTAACATCGACCACCGCATCATTCTCTTCCATTTCACTGGAAATTTCGAAAGAGCTGCCTTCTCTAATAAAGTGTTCTGTAGTTAAAAGTTTAAGTAGGGCATCACAGTAAAGTTGTATAATTGTAGTTAAATCTATTTGGCGCTAAATAAGAGAAACAAATTTATTCAGTAATTTACATTGCTTGATATTTCAAAAAATATTTCAAAAAATATATATACTTACTTCTTCTGGACTAGACTTTTGCAAAACAATAACCATAAGTGCTAAACATTTCAAAGATATCTTACGTAAATCACTTGAGTTCTCCCATTTTGTTAGGATATTCATTATAACTGACACAGTTGCTGGGCATATGGCGCGCATACCATTACGCTATATTAAATAATTAAAAAATTATTAACTAAACTAATAATTATATATAATTCATTATGTGAAAAAGCTTTCCTACAGGTTATAGCGCTACTATGTAACTGTAGATAATACACACACTACTATTGTGATATGTCTTGGACAAGAAATACAGTAAACAGTTAATTGAACAAATATAAATTAATAATAAAGACAAAGCATAGACAGCTACCACTCACCAAGTTATCACAGATTTCATTGCCTTCACCAGTGTTTAACTCAGTTTTAGTATTTATAGTTGTTATTGTTTTCTGTAAAGTTTTTTTATACTTTCATTTTGAAGCGCTTTAGAAAGATTTACAATTGAAAAAATAAAAATTTTAAATATGAAATTTAAAACAAAAATGAAATGATATATATTAATAATTATTCACAATTGTTTACAATGAGATATAATGATCCAAATAATAATATATGATAAATGTAATTAGATCCCAATGATATATAAATAATACAAAAAGCAATTAAATTAAAGCATGTACTATAAATCTCCTAAGACAGCAGGATATCTATACCTGTGATCCACAGATTACGGCACCCAGTGTATTTACTAATGTTTCACCAATTTCTGGAATCTTTGTTATATCTCCATTTTGAAAGCAATCTGAAAAAAATTGTTTTATTCTATAAAAAATCAAGAAAATCTTAAATAATAATAATTACTTACCATATATAAAAGGTACTATTTCAACGTGTACTGTATGTGGTTTATAGGAGAGTTTTTGATAATCAGCGAATACCCCACGTAAGAAACTACGCCATGTAAGATATGGATCATACATAACTTCTAGAAATTGGGAAAAGCTTTGGAATAAATGTATAGTTTCCATTGATGCACTTTGTTTATCTATAGTCTGTTAAAAAATATATTTTATAAAAGATATTATGTAGTTATAAATATATAAAAATAAATATATAAAAATTAATATATTTAATAAATAATAATTATAATAACAATTATAATTTTAATGGAAAAATATATTAAATATCCTAAATGGTGTAGTAGTAATTGAGAAAGTTGAGTTTCAATTGTGAAATTAATTTTATTGTGAAAGGATTAAAACTCTCTGTGTTGTCATTAATATGGACAGCTTGCGTTAAGTCGTCTAAAAAACTAGTAACTACACAAAGGAGACCTAGCGACAAATTCATTTCTTTTTGATATTGTAGCATTCTAATAGAATTTTGTTTTGATATCACTTCAGTTTAATTTGAAACATTTGTATCACAAATATATACAATATAATCAAATTGACTGAAAAAAATAGCACAATAAAAATATAAAGCTTCATTAATCTTTTTCATTACATTATAAGTGCAAGAGGTCAGTTTAGATCATATCGGCAATGTCAAGCAATTTGGAAGTAAAATTGATCTTTTTTACGTGAGTTAGTTGATACACCTGAGAAAATTTGAATGCAATTGAGGCTGATTGTTCCATTTAGTACCAGAGAAGACGGTTTTAAATGTTAACTTCAACATTTTAGTGAAGGATCTCAGCAAACAATTACAATAAAAAAATTATTTTCAATTCACGGAATCTACTATAATACCAACTATAAGTAATAGCATATTAAATCGGTGTTTAAGAAGGGAAAGAAGGAAGTTTAGAAAGAGGTGTTAACAAATTTCAAAATTCAAATTAGTGAATTTAATGAAATTTACTAGTTTTATATCAGCGTAAAAAAACAAAAAATTGAACTCTTTAACAGATCACAAAAAGCATTTCTCAACAAACATATAACTGCTATCAAAATATTACAGAGTTTAAAAATTGTATTTACATATATTGCAGCTGTGGTTCATGCGTTTGTTCTAATAAAACACAGCAAATAATTAATTGGTCTAATACAGACACTATGTTTCAAATTTGGTAGGGTAAAAGTTGAACCCTTGGTACTTGCAGTGTTCAACATTTAACTAATTATATTGTGGAAGAGATTTAGGAATGTTAAACATTATGAGATAATTTTAAATTGAATTAATATACTGAACTAATTATTTATAAGTAATTAATTTAATAATTCATTAATTAATTATTTCTCTATAGATATAATTCTAAGCTCAGCATTTAGTTAATAGCATTATTGTTATCACTCGTATGACTCTGCGACGTTTATACTGTCAAGAGATACCAAGGTGAAAATTTTGTCACTCTTAGTTATATTTTAAGCAGATATATGATGTGATTTTTTCAATTGGTTCTAGTAAAAGCCGGTTATACTTAGCGAATGCGCTCGTCTAAAAACAATCAATTCTTTCTTCCTAACAGATATCTAATTGTTTGGTTTTAGTAATAACAACAATAATTCTTTCAATTAATTTGTTGTTATTAATGGCAAATGAAGCAGTAAATAATAACTTCCGTAATTGTTTGGCTGCACACAAATGGTATTATCATTAAACACAGACTCTTATCTGCATAATAATTTATTTGTTGCTTAACGTGTCCATTAGTGTAAATAGCTACTATGAGTCAGATGGTTGCTATTACAAGATTAGATTACCTGCTTAAAGACATTGGTTAGTATCGCTATCATATTCGATTTATATTCATATTTAATAATTGCTAGTATATTGTCAAAATGGCGGCATATAATTATAAGACAATCTATTAGTACAGCAATCTGTCGTATAGCTTCATCTGTGAGATTATCCTAAAAAAAAAAACGCATTTATTACAATTCTATTTAAATAAAATAAATTTCAATACTCACATTTTCACTTTGGTCTCTCGCTATAATTATGAATTTTCCAATTGCTGGCAATAATTCGTCAGGCAAACGTCCCAGATGTGGTCCACTATCCGGACGCACTTCATGCCATAGCGGACATTCCTTTGTGAAATCAATTGCCAATTGTCGCTTCCAAATTGCAACAAAGCGTTCGATGAATTCACGAAAGTAGGATTCATCGTTCTATTTAAAAAACAAATAAATTACTTTACATATACATAATATTGTTATCAATTCAGATATAGTTTTTAACTGTTATTTACAGTATTCCATTGTTATATAATCCAAACAAAAAAAACCACAAACAAAACGCACCCAACCACCCACCACGTAAGTACCCACAACAACGAAAGTTCTCTGCCACAAACATTGTTTTTTTCTGTTTACTCAATTCAATATAATTTAATATTCTTGCTACGCGATATAAATAATTTTATACATTCAAATATTCTTTTAATATATTATTTATATATTTTTTTGTGGTTTTGGTTGCATTTACGCGGTGATTAATGCCGCAAAAACGTATATTTCTTGTTTTTTTTCTACCACCTCCGCCCCCATAAGCACTTTGTTATGTTTACTTACTTTTGTCGTATATTGCACCCACAAATTGTAAATATCCTTCTTGCTCTCCATTCTAATATAATATTTGGTTCACATTTGTAAATTTAAAAGATCAATAATATATTTAAACATTAATTACAATTAATTTTTCATTTTACCGAAACAGAAAACAAAATTCCACTTCACACACACAAAATCAACTGACTGCGGTGGAGATTCGAGCTGTTTTTAAGCAGTTGGCAATGCGTATTTCTTAACAGCTGTTCGAAAAAAGCAGCTGTAATAGTGTTGCATTAAATTAAATGAAAATTTTGTATATTACACATCTTACTGGTACCAATAACTGTTATACTATTTTAAATTATAGCAGTTTCATAATAACATATGTTTATTTTAGATCAAGAATACTTATTCTTTGTTTTAGTATTCTTGATTAAACAAAGTATCTTTGTTTTAGATCTTGTAGTCATATTATTTTGATTATATTATTGAAGATTTTGTATACTTAAGTAACAATAGCTAAACTGCATTTATTTGAAAGTATTTGTACATATAATATTAATATGGATGGACATAAGGATTATTCAAATGTGTTTGGTAAATAACTTTATCACTTTCACTTTACTGATTACTAAAATGCTTCGGAAGATGACTATAGATTTGTAAAATCTACATAAGAAAAGAAGACTATCCTATATACTATATAGATATGTATATATTATATAGATCTTATGTATTATATGGATTAATACTGCATTTGTTTGACTACGTTCTTTCAATGAATATATAATAAAAAATTATCTGAATTTAATTATCTTATGATGTTTTTAATTGACAAATCTGGCCTTAAATTAATTAATTTGAGTTTTTTGTCTGAATTTTAATTTATAAATATTCTGGAATATCAAATAGATTTGGTACACGTATGCGTCTATATGATCGTAAAGATACTCATTAAATAAATTATATGTATGGTCAACGAACTTATTTCCTAGAATTCTCTGATAATATAGCATAAAACAAATTGGCAGTGGAACCAAAACGCATTTATGGTTTTCATATGTTCATATAAAAAAAAACCTTTTTATAGTTCTGTTCTACGGGGTATTAATGGCAGCATTTCGATATTCTCAATTTTTTAATAGTATGGCTCATTTCGTTAGTGTATAATATCAAAAGAATGAATATTTTGAAGTACATCAGCAGCTAAAACTTTCTGACTACAACCGTAATATATAATCTTTTTTTTCCTGCCAAAACTATAGAACCAAAAGTGGACCTTATAGTGCAATAGTGAATTTAAGATATTCGAATGAAGGCGTTTAGTTGTGATCGGTTAGGATCAGTTTTATTACAAAATATCTACTAACGTTGTAATGGTTTACTTTACTGGCTGTCTAAATCCCTATTGAACTCTAAGCTCTATACTCTATAGACAATATAGTCTATATAATCCATACAAATTACAAATTATAATAAAAATAACTATAAAGTTGAGTGTTTTGAGGTAAAGTGAAATGAATTAAGAAAAGAAAACGTCTCTTCAAAGCTCTTCAAAGATTATCAGAGAGATCAGGTTAAACCCCAAATGATATAATTAAATAATATGCGGTCACATTAAAAATTAATTTTTAGTTTTTTTATATTTATTATACATATATAAATTATTGCCTAAATGTACTGGGGTAAAAATCAAAGGTATGTACAACAGAAATTTTCCAGTCGCAATGCAATCAGTCTATAAATATATTTATAACTTAAAAAGTTAGGGTGTCTGAAACATCTATTTTTAAATGCCAGAAAGCTCTGCGACCTGAAGAGACCTTACTCTTAAGAAAGTGTATCTTACTGTGGATTAACTAGCAAAGTGTGAGCAAACACACTGCTGCAATATATCCAAGGACTTACTTCTGTACTCTTTGTCAGTAATTTACATAGAGTCTGCTGAACAGAATCTAGATTTTTGTTACAACAAAATGAGAAGTAATCATTTTTTAAGTTTACTATTTAAATACTTTAAATGAATTAAAAATAATTTTGTAAAAAGTATTTTATTTTTTAAAGACGTAGTAAATTTAAATGGATCAGCTTTCAATTAAAACACAAACATTCCAGAACAGTGTTTTGTCTGCCTTCAGCAAGGAGTGTTTATGGTCACTTAGGTATAGTTTGCCATTTTAATATGTGTTGGGATTACTTTAAAATATTAAAAAGTATAAATAAGAAAAATAGTTAATAGCTTAAATAAATTGTGTAAAAATTTAAAGATATATAATAAAATTGATTTAATTATTTAAATAAACTTTTAATATGGTACAAACGCTTTGTTTGAAATGTGAAATGACTTGTCTTAATTTAATAAGTTCTTTAAACGAATATAAAACATTTTCTTTCAATATAACCTATTTCAACTTCAAAATATTTTTAATTTAACGCTTTTAAAATTTATGAATATCAACATTATAGTGACTTCTCTATGGCAGTTATTATCTTCACATTAAAGGAAAAATGTTTTAAAATTTAAGAAAAATCAAAACCAGGAGGGAGTGAAAATCTGACTAATCTATTTGTATCTAAAGCAGTTTCAAATAAATTTTTTCATAAGAACTGATCTTTATTACTTTCTTTTCCTTATTTTTGGAGTCGAAGAGAAGGTTACAAAAACTATAGCCATCCATTTTGAATTTGGGATCATGGTGAAAAACCAAACTCTTATCTTCAGTGATGAAATGATGCATAAAATCTCTTTCATACTTTCTAAAACGTTCTAAATGTTGCTGACAGAATAGTATAGAAATTGATCATCTTAGATTATTATAAATGTGGCATCCATTATGCGTATAGCTTTTTGCAATCTAAAACGTGACGTATTGCTCATTGTGCAAAATGAAATACCTAGAGTTTTTACGAAATCTATCTCAAACTATCTACGATCTTCTAAAACTATCGTCATATAATGATTTATGGTGTTTATGTATTTTTGGACATCCTTTATGCAGCATATAACCTCATCCGATTTGAATTCGGGGATTTGTAATTGTTAATAAAATGTACAGTGTATATTGTCTACATGAACGCCACATGATGTCACATGAACGAATTTCAAATATCAATGTATATGTAGAAGTTTTGACATCGATTGAACCCCTTTTCTAGCAACGAATTATTTTATTAAGATTTTATCTATTCAAACAACTATAAAATCTAACGTTGAGAGATCCATTTCTCTCATGTAAATAAATACGAATTCTGTCAGGAAATGTGATTGGCCGTAATATACAAATATGAAACTGTAGTTAATGCAGATGAAGTTAGTCGACGAAAATAGTCTGGGACATTACTTTTAAATTTTTTCCGTTCTTAATCTGTAAGCGCCTCTCAAAGTAAGTAACTGGCAACGAGCCTATACTTATGACTAATTCTTGAAAAATCTGCCCACTATTTGTTTTTGAAAGTGCATTCCAGTTAAGACATTTACCACTACAAGTTTTTATTGCCTTAAATCTTTCTCGAATTTAAGCTGCTTAAAAACATAGAATTATTAAATCATAATGAAATTTTGGTCATGTTTTTATGGAAGATTGAGATGGTGTCAAAATTCTAGTTATTTTATTGAGGTATGGATGGCGCTCCGTAAAAGTTTTCAAGACTATAACTATGAACTATGTATGACAGGGCTGTCCAGACTAGATGCGATCGCAGGCCCAAACAAATTACTGTACAGATTGGAGGGCCGCAGAAACAAATACATACGTTCATAGTTGTTATTATAAATACACTATAACATTATAAATACGGTTATAATCTTAAAAAAATGTAGTTCTACCAATACACCGAAAGAAAATTTGAGTATTTATATTAGATTAAAAACATGTCGCGGACCGTAGTTTGGTTAGTCCTGATGTATGACATCATCCGCTTGGTGCTCCCTTTTTTTCTATATTATTTCATTAATATTTTGTTTTTAAAAATAAATAACAACTTTTTATAGAGAATGTAGTAAATAAAGCATTTGTAGGCTTCTAAATGCATATTTTATTAATTTTTTGTAATTTTTAATTTATTTTCAATTCTAGTAGCATATTTTAATTACATGATAATAGTTTTATTTATTCTTTTTTTTTAATTTTAAATTTTAATATTTCTTTCATTTTAAATAAAAAGTAATTTTTATAATTTCAATTTAATTTTAATTTTTTTAATTTTTGCTATTTATAAAGTTTTTGTTTCCTCTTGTTTAATGTTTACTGTGCAAATGCATATGCGCATAACTGACATTAATATATAATATATAATTATATATTATATACATGTAAATATATAAAAAGAAATTCTAATATTTTATATAATTGTTTTCGCTAATAAAGTGTGTCTAATGCATTAAGTTTAATATTAATATTTTTCATTTTGGTTTTATATATAAAGTATAATTAATTTTAATGCAAATTGTATCGAACAATATTAATTTTTTGTTTTAAATAATTTCAAATTTTATTTTATTTCGTAAGTATACTATAATTTATAAATAAATTTTTTAATAAAAATATTTAGAAGAAAAATTTTTAATTTTATTTTTGTGTTATACAATTTATTTTTAAAGCTGTGAGTTCGCATTCGCAATAATTTGTTTAGTAAATATAATTTTTATATTTATTTTATTTTAATTTTACATATATTTATATATATATATATATTACTTTTAGTTTATTTAGTATATTTAAAACTAATAAAGATTATTTAAAATATTTATAAATATTTTAGAAAGAGCCGATTATGAATAAAAAAATATGTTTTATGTTTTATTTACTTTGTACCAATTGAAATTTAATTTTAAATATATATTAAATTTTTACAATTATTTATATTTTTTTAAAGAAATTTTTTAAAGTGTTTTCTTTAAGTACAGTACGCAGTTTTGAGAATTTGTTTAGTTTTCTTTACATTAAATAATTTATTTATTTTGATATTTTGTAAAAGTTGCTAGCTATTTTTGTCTATTTTATTTGACTTATTGCATAAAGATTTATTTTCTCTGCGATAAACTATTTATTTTTTCATAGCTTGTAGAAATATAAATTATAATTTATTTTTAGTGTATTATATATATATATATTGTTTGTAAAATTATTTAATAGTTTTGTGAAGGTATTTTAGGTTAAACCGCGCTAGTGGCGGATTTGCGATTGTTTCTGTATAAAGTTTTTTTTAATAGTTCTGTTTTTTTTTGCTTTTAATTTTTATTTATTTTATTTATTTAATTGAAATACAAATTGCAGTTATTTTGCTTTAAAATGTTATAAATTTAAAAAAAAATCATCTATAAATCGAAAATATAATTATTTACTGAAACGGAACTTAACGTTTTCTAAACCGTGAACTTGGCGTTTCAAACTGCGGCTGTCGGCCCAGGAGGCGTTGAGATACTCGTCGTCATCGTCTTGCTCAAGTTTCTGAAATAAGAAAATATATAAAATATTAATATTAAATGTAATATATGTTTAAGTTTATTAAAATAAAATGCTGTATAATATACAAATATCATGTACAGTAGTAGTATCTCGATTCGATATAGGTTAGCTTAGGTTGGAGTGGCGACCTTGTATACCAATAAAACCGACTTGAGCTCAAATAATGGCCCATTTGGGTACCACAGGAATAGCGTTGTTTCGCATATTGACTAGGTGATCAGTATGTCGAAGAAGGCAACGAGTCCCCCATTAGGTGAAGGTAAACCAACTTGACAGTTATATAAATCTGGTTAAGTCCCTAATATTGCAGGATGATAGCTTAGTCAGATCGAAAAGGAAAGATTTTTGCCCTAAGATTTTTGATCTTTTTTTATCTAAAGACACATGTGAAGAAACACAGTTTTCACACAGCCGCGACAAAATTCATTATAAGAAAGATCTAGTCTCACAGGTCACTGCATAATAAGTAATTCTGCAGTGACCTGTCAGCACCGATACCGTAGTGCTGAGCATATTCCGCTTTAATTGAAGTAGTTGACTGGTACGTTTTTTGTGCAACGCATTTAGCTAGATTATTGAGGGAAGCATGGTAGTTTTGAGTTATGATTCATGTGGCTGTGGTGCTTACCAGTGATTTAATGGCAGCTTGGATATCCGAGAAGATTGAAATAGTTACATCGGAGGTTTGATATAAAGATTCTCTAAATAACGAACGTTAAAATACTGTTAAATAACATACTTTCGAAAATTCTTTTTTTTTTAAAGAACGAAAGTTGCATATAAATTGCAATCGAAATAATGAAAAACCTTCCCACTACACTTCGACACATGCATTTATTTTTATATATGTTAGATACTCCTGATTTTAACATCAAATTAATTAATTAAATTAATTAAATTAATAACATGTTCGATCAAACGAGATATACGCCGAGATATACGAACCGGAATTTTTTCCGTTCCGGATCAAAAGAAAAAAATATGTCGGTTTGTTTCCGGTTTTCAATGTGATCATTAGTGTCCGCGTTTCCTGAATAATCTGCGAAAAAAACTTCAAGCCCGGCTCGGTATTGTGGTATACGGATGGGTTCAACATGAAAGTCAGCTACTAAAATAGCCTGACCAAAACTCCAAAAAAATAGTTTCAATAAGCAAAACCATCACGCAGATATCCATTCTTTAGAACTATACTTTAAAAAAATATTTACACAAGAGAAATACTGGCATCGACATATGTATACTCTAAGGCAGCCAAGCAGCTCTAACACCTCTATTAGCATTCACAGTAAATCAAAATTACTTTGCGAAAGGTTTGAACTTCTCCAAACTTTATTTATATAAAACGAACTCTGTGAGTAATCATTGGGCGACATGAAGTTAGTTAAAGCGCATACCCAGAATCTTTCTGCGGAGATAAACAATAGCTACAAAATAAATTTAACTTATGAATATTCAGTATATATTGCAGAACTACAACATGGTTTTCCGATTATCCTACAAAAATTGGATGTGTATTCCCCAAAAAGTTTTTTTCCCTAATTTCATTGGGCTGTTTAAGGAACTTAGCCATTAGTTACTTTTTGAAAAAATATATTGACAGACAGATAAATACATTAATATTTTTTAATCGATTTTTATAGTTTTACATAGTTTTATAGATTTTTTATAGGTATTTAACAATTACAAACATTTTTACAGATTTCATTCTATGTATGATAGTATTCCTATATTAATAATGAAACAATACATTACGCAATAGGCAATGAACCAGTTTAACAAACGAATCGATAAATCAATAAATCTGCTTTCAATCATAACGCAATATTGTATAAGCCAAGTTCCAAGTTCCAAGTTCGTCAGTACCTCTAAGAAATTCATATTCATATTTTTGATGGATACCCATTTCTCAAACTATATCAGCACTTAGAAACATAGAAAATAATTGATTTGAAAAGGCTTATGCTAATTACAAAAGTTTAAACCAATTTAAAAAGTTTATTCGAGTAAATAACAATTTTTGTAGACATGTTTCTCAATCTTAATATATCTATACTCAAATTAATCACTGACTTGTTAATAGGTCATGCTTCTGCTTACAATCACTTGTTATGTATGCAACTGTGAAATACAGTGTGGTCGTTCTGTGCACCGGTCAGAAAACTAGTACAGTGCCTTCATACGATATTCAGTCAGGCGAATAAAACTTATGCTATTACAAAACGTAATAACCTTTCCAGGTTCAGTATTCTGAGCTTCATTCAGTTCACTGAAAAACGAATGGAGATACTGGACTCGTTTTTTGACAGTGCTCGTACCATGCGATTTAATATTCTAAGCTTCCTAAGATTCATTCAGACTTTATGAAAACGCATCTAGTATCTCTACTAGAGGTACTATTTATATTTTGAGTCTTGGCAACATTCATTGCTGTCAGGTGTCAATTGACATTTCCATACGAAAGTTTAACATTATTAAACATACCCGTTATTTGTGTTATTTACAGTGATTTGTTGAGTGTTTGCGAAAAAATGGAATTAATGCAAGAAAATTTTCGTGCGATGATTTATTACGACTTTCGACGTGGATTATCAAGATAAAATTGCATGGATTAACTTACTTCCACATACACCTTTTGATGATGAAACTCTATTCTTTGTCACTGTGAAACGCTGATACAATGATTAAATCAGTTGTTGTGCAATAAAACATTGATGCTGAGATTAAGGAAAGCCTAGACATTAGTTCCATCACGATCGTTTAATCGTAAGAAAGATTTGTTCTGTTTGAATCCCCCACCATTTGACAAAATCTCAAAAGCATGCTGGATGTTCACGCTCGAAATACTTCGAAGCAAAGGTTCATTGTGCTTTTTTTCGGGAAAACTGGCAACTACTTGTAAACTAATACAAAAACGAAAAAGGTTCAATGCCGAATGGTATACAACCATTTGTTTACCGGAAGTCTTCAAACGAGGATCGTCGGATCATTCTCCATCTTCAAAAAGATAATGCGATTGCTCACACATCTCGTCTAGCAATCGACTATTTGAACATTCAAAAAATCAAATTGGTGTGTCATCCGCCTACTGATTTCAGTCCTCGTTTGCACCCAATGACTTCTTCTTTTTCCTGAACGTCAAAAATAAATTGCGTGGACAATGATTCGAAGAAGAAAAGAAGGCTTTGACAAATGGTTCGACAACTTGGAAAAACAAAAAACCAATTTTCAACGACCAGTTAGTATTTTTTCATTAATAGGCTTAAAATATAAATAGTGACCATCGTATACGACTTTTAGTTAATCGATTGAAGCTTAGGCTATTACAAAACATAGTAATATCTTTTGGTTCAACATTCTACGCTTTATTCGATTGATTAAAAGTCATATGGAGTAACAGTTCCGCGTTTCTTACGATAGTAATATATCTTTGGTCAACGTCATAAGCTTCATTTGGTTTAGTTTAGAATTAGATTTTAAAACGGGTTGGGAACTTGTCACCACGTCACTGCATTCTTCGAGGATTATTGTAATATGCCCACTTTATTTCCATAGATGAGTAGCTTTTAAGAACGCCATTATGTCCTTTGGAGAGATGTTGGCTAATTCCATTATAAGTGGATAGGCAGTGGATAAGTACCGAATCTGAGTCTGGCGAGACTATCACAGCGACACAAAGTGTGTTTTGCTGTTCCCTCTTAATCGCAACAAACTCTGCAGCTATTGTCTCTAATAATACCGAGGTTCGATAGATGCTTTTTAACTCTGAGAAATCCTGTAACAAGTCGGATGCTACTTCTGTTTAGCATAAGTAGCTCCCTAGTTCTAGCTTTTGATTGATACGGTATGGATTCTTTAGCTTGTCTGCATGCAATTGTATTACCCCAATCATTCTGACATGCTCCTTCCAGCCACTCGTTAATTTTAAGTTCGAAAAAGCTCCATGAAAGACTACAAAATGGTTGTTTCATTTACTTTACTGAAAGTCCTATGGAACTACTAGACTCGTTTTCTGATACTTTTTCGTTTCATACGGTAATAGCACAAACTCTCTTGAGGGACCACATAATAGATTGCGTAAGTCGAAGTGTGTCATTATAAATTAATAAGTAATGTTTGTCTTTTATGATATATGTCAGTGCTATTCCAGTGCTGCAATTATTGTTTTAAAACAAAATATGGGTGTAATGACAATTCATAACTTTAAATAGAGTTATAAATAACATTTCATGTAATTAGCTTGAAGATATAAAACAGAAATACGATGTTTACTAGTAATAAATAAAGCTCAAGACTACGGCAATGCATTGACCCATTTACCCATAAATGATACGCCCAAAGCAGTTTGAACGTTTAAGGGTTTCTTCTTCCAAGCGCACAGTTACAAAATAAATATTTGTCATATTGGGAATGTAAATAAAAAAGATATTTAACTAATTTTATGATTTCATCAATACTGAAAGGTTTAAAATAAATTGAGGTTTTATTATTTACGCAAACAAAAACAAAATCGTATATCAAAATTGCACAGCCTGACCAACACCCAGAATTCGTAGCTTGTTCCAAGCGACTACGCTTAACTAAAACAACATGTCAGCAACTTTTTTAATGAGCAATTTCGCAAAGGGTAGAAGCAGCGCGGTAAGGGTGCAGAAATCAATAAAGACATTTAACATGGAAGAAGCATGTATATATGTGACAGTGTATGTGTGGTGCTTTGCACTACGTTTGTCCAATTACAAGCTTGTTTATTTCCTGCAATTTTTTACAATGGCGCTTAACTGCCGTAGAACAATAGAGGAGAAATGCACAAAAAGAAGACAATAAAGTGAAAATTGAAGGAAATTAAAGTAAATAGTTTTGTTTTATAAAAAAAATCTCTGCTAATATACAAATTACAAGATTTCATATTACAATATATACGTGTACAGTGTCAAATTCAAGAGATGATGGTATCAGCAATGCTTTTAGAAAAGGATAATGTA